GGAGTGGGCCCAATTCTGCCCACACATCAGAGTAGCCTCACTGAGGACCGGGGCTGCAAAGATTGAAGGAGGGACGGGAACTCGGCTGGAGCAGAATTCCTGAGTCAGGGGCATGCCTGACCCATTTGTAGAACAGCCCAGAGGCAGGGGCAGCTCTGAGGGCCGTAGTAACAGGGGGCGGAGGGGCTGGATCCAGTGGGGTGTGCAGCCATCCTAAGGACTGGGGTTTTACCTTGAGGGAGGCGTGGCACCACTCCAGGGCTTCGAGCAGAGCTGTGACCAGGTTTGCGGTGGGAAAGGGTACTCTGGCCCCAGCGTGGAGAACAGGTGGAAGGAGGGGCACGGTGGGGGCAGAGGCCTGTTAGGGGTCTGTTGGCGGAGATTGAGGCGAGAGGGGACGGCGGCTTGAACCAGGGCGCTCTGCAGAAGGATCTGTTGTGACCAGAGCGTCAGCTGGAGGCCCTGGTGATGTTGGGGTGCGAGCAAAAGAGGGGTCAGCCAGGACCCCAGGCTTCCAGCCAGAGCACCGGGAAGGAAGGAGTAACCTCTAACCACCAGCTGAGACGCGGTAGGGGAGGAGAGACCGGGGGTGTTACAGGCGTCCGGGAAGCTCTTCCGGCCCAGACTCGGCTTCGAGACTGGTTGTTCGGAGCCCCAGGGCCGGTGCCGGGACCGCTCACGGCTGCCGTCAGCTTGTGGTCACGTCACCCACCTGACATCCATGCCCCTGGAGCGTGAATGTGGCGGCGTCCGCTCGTCCTGCAGGAGCTGGAGTCTTCTCAGAGAACCTTCCTTCTTGGAAGGCTTGTGGAGCGTCTTGCTGAGGAAGTGGTGCTCGGCGGTCCCAAGGAAGGCAGGTCCGCCTCTGCAGGGAGGAGGGGTGGGCTGTGGCGCGGCTCCGGAGAAAGGCAGCCCTGACCCACCCCTCTTGCCCCCAGGCCTGTCTGTCCGCCCTGCCCACCCCCATCCTCGAGGTCTAGCTCACCTGATGCTTCTGCCGTTGGGCTCCGCTCTCCTCCCCGCTCTGAACGGTGGCTCGGTCCATGCGCCTTGGTTGGCCCTTCCCGGTGACATTGTTTGCATTGCCTCACGTCCTTCTTTTCACGGGTTTTAGGACCTCCTGTTTCCCAGCTCGCGAGCTCCTGCAGGATCTCAGGGGAAACGGGAGCCGGATACTTACGGCTCTGTGAGCTAACGCATTAGTCACCAATGGTGGCTTTAACAAATTAAGGCAAATCAACACGACAACCCAGATCTATTCTCTCACTGTTCTGGCGGTCAGAAGTCCCACGTGTGTTGGCAGGGCTGTGTTCCTTCAGGAACCGCTTGGGGCTTCCTTCCCAGCGTCTGGAGGCGACCCCCACCTCACTCCAGCCTCCGCTTCTGGTACCACCACCTTGTGTGCCTCGGACCGTCCTGCTTCCCTCTTAAGTGAGCCTTGTGGTTCCCTTGGGCCCACCTGGATGCCCTCCTCACCTCGGGATCCTTTACGCGATCACATCTGCAAAATCCCTTTGCCCTGTGAGGGAACAGATTCGCAGGTTCCAGGGATTAGGACGAGGCCGTCTCTGAGGGCTGTTCTGGGCGCGTTGCAGGTGCTTTATCTAGTGCTTTCAGTGGCTCTCTGAGGCAGAGACTTGATGCAGGGTAGGGACGAGGAGCGTGGCTGAGCTGGGCTCCGAGGCCGCCACCCACCACGCATCCCTGCTCAGGTGGGACGCGAGCCTCCCTGCTGGAGACCGGCACGCTCTCACAGCTCCTCACAAAGACCGCAGTGGTTTCCGGGGGCTGCCATCATGAAGTACCACAAACCTGATGGTTTAAACAACAGAAACATACTGTCCCAGCTCTGCAGGCTCGAAATCCCAAGTCAAGGGCTGGTTCCTTCCGAGGGCTCTGAGGGACGGATCTGCCCCAGACCTCTGTCCTTGACTTGCAGGCGGCTGTCTTTTCCCTGTGTCCCCCCATATCATCTTCCCTCTGTGCATTCCTGTTTCTGTGTCCAAAGTCCCCCTTTTTACAAGGAGCCCCCTTTTATGTTGGAGTAGGGCACACCCTAAGTTTAGATTAACAAAACTTTTCAAAAGTTTTAACTTTGAATTTATTAAAAATTGAACGTCACTGTAACTTGCTTGCCTCGGTCACATCTGTAAAGACCCTGTCTGTCACTGTCTGAGGTACTGAGGGCTGGAACAGCAGCACTTCTGTTTGGGGCACACACTATTAACCCCCGACACGGGCCGTGCATCCTGAGGGTGGCCCGTTGCCTCCCCTGGCTTCCGGTGTTCGGCCTGGATGTGTGTTTTCCGCCAGCAAGCCGAATCTCCTTTGCATTCCTACAGTTCTCACGCCGTTCCGTGTCCTCGCAACCTCTCTCAGGCGAAGCATGGACTCTGTGTCCCGCAGGCCCTGGGCTCAGATCTTTGATTTCTTTCTCCAGGCCACGCCCCCTAGAG